TTTTTTTGCATTTACTTTTAGAAAGAACATTGTAGTGAACGTCTTTTGTGCACATCCCATGATTTCCCTAGGACAGATTACTACAAGTGGCATTGCTGAGTCAATGCGAATGTGGGAATTTATCATCTAGGTTTTGATACTAATTGTTTTCTCAAAAGGGTGTACCAGTTTATACTCTCACTAGCAGCATATGGAAGTGCCTGATAACCCTAAACCCTCAGCAGCATTGGTAATTAGCAATTTGAATACTTTTGATTGTCTTTTTAAAAGATTCCAGGTGTTCTTGTTCAGGTCTATATTCCTGCCTCTAATACTCTAGAGCAGGGGTCGACAAACTTTTGAGACGGAAGAGCCAATCCTGTCCCTCGAAGTTTTGTGAGACCTATAAAATAAATAAAATCACCATTATGTGAATAATATTCTTTAAAAATCTTATAAATGAAAACTATAATAGTTTTATTTTCATTTTCAATTTTACTTCAGAGCCACACGTATGTACTCAAAGAGCTGCATGTGGCTTGCGAGCCACAGTTTGCCGGCCCTTGGCCTAGAGCCATGGCCTACTGACTGGTTTCTCTCTCTCTGCTCTAGACCTCACTTGGTCACTGAAGGAATTAATTGCAGGACCATGGGTAAAAGCATGGGTTCTAAAACTAGATGCCTGGATTCAAATCATGGCTGTACAACTCTGCCTTGGTTTCTCCATCAATAAAAATGGTAATAATAATAAAACCTCTCCAGTAGTGGGGCTAGGTGATAGTTGATGTAAAGTACTTTAAACAGTGCATGACTCGTGGTACGTGCTCATTAAAGTTACTACTGTTACTTTCCAGCCCTCCATGCTTGTATAATTAAAAAACCAGAGTTTATACTTGTTTTGAATGAAATATGATTATTACCGAGTTTGCAATTCACAGTAGAAACTAAAGTGCTGACATTGTAATAGTGTTGGTGTTGACAAAGTGACCAACCCAAAGGTCCCAGATAACCATCCCTGCCTCAGCTGATGCTGAGCGGTCAAGGGTA